TACCTTCCTCAATACTCCTATCTTGAAAGTTGAAAAAGACTCAAATAATCCAGCACTGTCCTGTCATAATTTATTTTCCTCAAATCCGTCAATCTCCTCAATCTCAAGAACTAAAATTGGTCTCATCACATAATTTTTAACAAAATTGCAAGAGTTTTTACTCTTGCACCCAGTGTCTTTGTATGATAACAGTTATGGTATACAGTATATAAAAAATAATATCTACTTTCACCACCCACATGTTCCCAGCTAGTGTGGGGGTGTGAGCAGGAAACTGCCACTACAGATGTGTTTTTCTAACCTTTAACACTGCTACATTCCCTGTTCATCATCAGAGTCAGAGGCTAATCATGATGCAGAATAATATGTTTGTCCTCATTCTGCCAAATACCAAGACACAGTGGAGGCATAATTTGGCTTGTTGTGACACCTTGTGGTGAAACATTTCACTGCAACAGGATGTGGCTCCTGTTCCATATTGCTATGATGTGTGTCCATATGTGATAACACCAGTCTTACCTTCCATCTTTGGCACAGAAAAAAGACAGAAACTGGAACATTCCGATGAGCGGAGTCAGTTATAATTCTCATACTTACATACAAAAATGTCTTCCAGAGAGAATATAACAATACATATATTATTTTATTTGCATGTTACATGGTGATAAACACAGCAGTACCATTACGATTCTGTGTGTTCCAAGCTATCTCCAGAAAAAGAGGTTACTTTCCCAGACATCTCAAGTCACATTCAAATACAGAACATTAAATTCAAACAACTTTATTTTGTGTTATGAACATTTTCTCATATACCTTTATTACATATATTTTTTTTTAGAAACTGACTGCAATCACCTTATGCCATAATAAAGTAAGGTAAAATAGAAAAAAAAAAAAAAAAACCCGGGACATGTTGTGTCATAATCATGACTGTATCTTAATTTCCCATGACAAAGGGAAGGGACGTATAAACGTGATACTTACATTTCCTGTTTAAACTTTTAAATGTTGAGTTGTATAAACACGATCTTATGGATTTGCTGACTTTACAACATTCTACTGTAGAAACATCATACTGTATATACACACAGAGGTGGAAAAGAAAGAAAGAATCTTAACTTACAATAGAGGGTTACCACTGTAACCATCAACGGAAAGTAGATGTTTGGCCAACTTATCATGTATATCATGCCTTGTGTTAACTTCTCAGGTTGGTCAATAATAATTAACAGAATCAGAGCACACAGGCGCGCGCACACACACACACACACACACATAAGCCAACAGTGAAGCGATGGTGATGTTTTGAGGCTGTGCTCAATAGTAAACTAGGAATCTGCTCCTACAGTCTTCAGTAGATATCCAGGTCTGTCTACAGGTGGTTGGTGATGTGTCCAAAGGCTGGCTGTTGGTCTCTATGAGCAATGACAGTGTTTCCTTATGCCTTTCTGCTTTGTGGATAAGACAAAGCTCCATGGCTTTTATAGTAGTGGTGTTGGTATCTATTGGCTGGTTTTAACCTGCATGGATACACTTTAATGAGGTTTGCCTCACAGGAAAGTTAAGACAATGACGTTAGTGTAGCATCCTTTAAAACAGGGGTCTCAAACGCAGATTGGCTTGGGAGCTAATATCACAGGAGGGCCACTTCAAAATTCAAGTACTACATGAAAGCGCAATATTCTACAAATATTTCAATTTCTAACATTACCAAAATGCAAAGAGTACTTTCTGTACAATTTTCAATCATCATTTTCTATCATCTTTGTTGTTTGCAGCCTGCTACATCTTATTAACCTTTTGCATGCATTTGGCACCTTGGACCTTTGCCATTATTTTACGCAAAATTTTGTTTTGCAAATATAATTGTTTTAAAAATGTTTAATTGCATATGAAGGGGTTCTTTAAATTGATAAGAAACAAAAAGAAAAAACAAAATAAAAAATAATGAACTTGAAGGCTGGATTATATGATATTTCTGACATCATGTTGCAGGTCGGAAGTAGGGTCTGAAAATGGCCGTCAGTTTGAGATCCTTGCTTTAAAAAAAATCCACAAGCTATTTGCCATGATGCAGTGAACTCAAGTACCCAACATGCATTCCAAGCAGGTTAAAATAAATGCTAAGCACAATTTGGAGATTTTCGACCCTGCTCTGCTAGTCTGTCAGGGTCCCAGCCTAGCTCTGCCCTGAGGTTTTATTATGCGACACATGGTGAGACAGACGGACTTCACTGAAATAGACATGTAGCACAGACCACTCTCATGCAAACTGATCACGGAGAAAACTATTTCACCACAGTTTTCAGATCATTCACTTCTTACTGCAGTAAGATGATAATGGCTGCTGATAAACTAGCATCCATAAGCTAACCAGAGGCTAAAAAGCGGCAAGAGAGTCTGCAAAAGGACCAATGTAGTAGAAAAACATCAGGAGTCAAGTTAATCCACGTTAAAGTGGATACACCAGCGTTGTTCAGTTGTAGAAAATAAATTTAGAAAAAATCATGTGAAAGCACAAAAACAAGCAGCTTTCTTATCACTTCCTAGACTGGGAGATCTGATTGTAGGTTCTTGTTTGGTGTATTGGTTAATGCTGTGACTGATAGAGACGACAAAATGCTGTTTTAACCGTTTAAATGCTTCATTGTTTGCTGCCATTGTGGCCTGTTTTAGTCCCTGTACAGCTATAGCTCTACTGTTTCACCCACATGAAAATTAGACTGGATCATATGGCATTACCAACACTACAAAGTCACACAGTCGTGGCCTCAGGAAGCATTTACAATGAAAACACTGGGAACAATGTCTTTAATGCATGACAAGGATGACATTAATTACACGTGTGTTTTACAGTACTAGTACTATCTCGGCTTGGTTGTTAGAAGAGCGGAGAAATGAACACACATCCAGTCGAGGGGCTGAGCTGGGCGCTGGAGTCTGTACGCTATTAGTCACCTTACAGTAGGTCAAAATAAATGGCGAAAAAAAGGCAGCTAATAGTGCACCAGTTTCAGCAATTCTCATCAGAGCAGCAATGAGCTGTTTGAAAGATCTTCTTCTTGTGAGTTTTACAAAATATGACACATGTTGTATTCGTTGAACCACTTTGTTCGTAAAGACATAAATTCAGTGATCAGTGTGATGAGGAAATCTGCTGTGGGACATGTAATTTAATGGTATAATTTTGTTAAACTTGCCTTGATGGCCACTGAGGGGAATAAGCATTCATGTGTTTTCTGCTCTCATATTGAATTCCTGGTATATGAAAGAGCATTACAAGCTAAACATAATATTCCATTCCCTATAACATCATGTAAGCCAGCACTTATATAATCTCAAGAATAGGTACAATAATAACTGCACAAAACTATCTTCTTTTTAATGCTAGACCTTTTTTAAAAAAAAAAAAAAAACATCATTGTATAATGGGCTTCAGTTCACATGATAGAGCAGGGTGGCCAGTTCAAGAGATCTACAAGTTATTCATCCTCAACAAATTGATACCCTACTCAGAAACATGGACACATAAAATTTGCCTTTTCTCATATAGTATAAGGACATTGGATTCAAGTATATATACACACAACTAAAATGAATGAGGTAAAGACAGAAAAAAAAAAACTCAATATCAATATATTATGAATTTTCCTGTATCATTTCATATTAAAACACACATACTTCTTTGAAAGAGAAAAACTAAAAAGTAAGTCATTCATTGGTGTCATACATTTTTATCCAAATTCCAGCAGTATAGAAGAATGATCCTAAAACTCATAAGCTAAAAGCAAATACTGTATGTGGTACAGTATTATGTAGCTAAATGGGGTGCAGCCTGCTGTGGAGCAGAGATAAACTGCCAGTACGGTTGGTTGGTTGTCAAACAAGCAACATACACTGCAACAATTTTCTCTGTTTCCTGTTGTTACAGTGGCAGAACAAGTTGTCTTATCATAGAGAAATACAAAATTTTACTATGTACAGTACGCATCATTATAACCTACTGTGTTTCTTTTCCTGTTGCAAAAGAAAAGAGAAATTCTTTTGGAATAAAGGCGAGTGGTTGCAAAGCCACTGGATGAAGATGTAGGTATCCATCAGCAGATAAACTAATTTCCTCAGGTTTGCACTCCGCATGGTTTAAGCTCAGTGAGATCAAGTCACTTCTATTCACTGCATCCTCGATTTTAGGCTCGGCGGCAACAGCCCAAATGACTGCTGCATCTAGAATCAATGTCATTGATTGGAGAGACATTCGGCTAATGCTCTATATCTTTGCTTCAGTCTAGTAGCATCAGATTATGGTAGTACAGATTTTAATATCAAGCTCTAATCTCATTACAGAATCAGCTGCAGTATTTTCCCTTTGATTTCTGCATGTGTTAGTTTCAAATCTTATATAGTTTATGAATATTTGGCAGATACTTTGCATGTTGCTCAGTAATGCACTGGTTAAACACTTGGTTAAATCTAAAATTTAAGTAAACATAATGCATCTATGGGAGTAAGAAGAAATACACCTTACGTCTTCAGTACTACTTAGAAACAAATGATTGTTGGCATCCTTGGGGTGCCTGTGCTTTCATTCCCATGAAGACAAAAACACAACACACCCGATCTAGACCCCGAAGACAAGATATAGCAGAAACAAAGAAGTGCATACAAATTAAGAAGAACAATGCGATTCGTTAAGAGAGCACTGTTTGCTTGTTCTGTCCTTCATTTCATTGTTTTTTTTGTTGTTGTTCTTATAACATTTTACTCATAACCCATCGCTTTTCGTAATATCTGTAAGCAGTGCTCAAGAGCACGTAAGGTTTTCGTATCATGATGCAAACAGTCTGGGTTGGGGGGCGGTAAAGTTGGTAATAAGGTAGCAATAAGGATGTCGGTGAGCTGTAAAGGAGGAGCAGAAGGAGGAGGAGGAGGAGGAGGAGGAGGAGGAGGAAGAGGAGGTGATGTGGAGATGGGAGGAGGAGTTAGGAAAGGCCAGGACAAGGGGACAGCGGTATTAACACTTGAAGAAAAGGCAGGCGAAGCAGGCCAGCAGGAGCCACAGTGATTGAGATACACAGGCGGAGCCGTTGATATCTCGACCTGTCCCAGGTCCTGCACAGAAAGAGGCACAGAGAGAGGAGAGAGATTTAACATAGTAGTCAGAGTCAGTGTCAGAGAGCTCACTCACACTTGCAGTCCCACCTCTCTGAGAAAAAAAAAGTATAGCCACTATTTAGATTTTATCAAGAAGAAGGATGACAGTCAATTTACAATTTATCCCCTATTTTGTTTTTCTTGAGCATTCACCCAGATAATATTGATACTACTACTGTAGACATTTTTCCATTTTGAAATCCAGTTGAACAGAAGAGTAATACCACCAAACAAGTATTCTAGTACTATGAATTATATACATACATATAGTCTTCTTTTATAAATGAGTAATTCAACTAAATGAGTAACTGAGTCAGTAAAAACATACAAGGTAATGTTAGTTGCTACAGAATAACTACAGACTTTGAGTGGTGTTTGGTGACATCTGGTGGCCATGTTGTGCTATTGACTGCTGCAATAGAAGCTGAAACCCAAGTCATGCTTCAGAGAGCACAAAGGAGGCATAAACTGGGGAATATGTGGTGGGACTGAGAGCTCAGCATACTGCAGCTTAAAAAACACAAGCAAATTAAGAATAAAAGGGTAAACACAGGCAATGAAACCAATTAATGTTCAGTTCCATTCAGGTCAAACAGAGTCATGGTGCTGCTATTGTGCATGTTGGCTCACTGGAAAGCCTTTGCTACACATGAGATTACTCTACTATTTCATGTCAAAATGGCTCCTCTCCCTCTTTGTGTGTGTGTGTGTGTGTGTGTGTGTTTGATCGTGTGACTGGAGACGGTGTGCACCCTCTGCACCTCATCTCAATAATCAAGACCTCTACAAATACTCAGCCTTACCACTTAGCCTCTGCACCAGTCAGTCTACGCTTTGAGCCATTTTTCATATCAGTTTTCCTGTCGTCAGTTTTTTCCCTCGTCTAACCCTGTCTCCCGTTTCCTTCGCCGTGCTGTTTGCTCCGGTTCTGTCCCCTGTCTCTAGTCCCTCGTCTCATCTTGTCAGCTCTGCTTCCCTGCCCTGGATCCCCGTCCTTCTCAGCTTCCAGCCCAAGCTTCCCCAAGACTGCACTCCCTTTCCTTGCTTTCACAACAAATACTTAGTTTTTTTGCATATCCTTGTCTCCTCACGGTGAGTGTCTTGGTTCACCAGCTTAGTCCTAATATTTTCATTATAAATGCTCCACATAGTCAAATTGATGAAGGTGTTTCCTTAATTAGCTTTCTCCTCTGTCTTTTTGTATGCCTTTTCTTAAGTTGCATTATACTGAGCATCGCCACCGTTGAAACGTAAAAAGGGAGCATTGTATCACAGAAAAGAGAACTGTGGTTGCATTGATATTCATATAGCTTCAAACCTTCAAGCATGTAGCACTTCTGGTCAAACCCCAATTAGTAAAGTCACAGCAGATGTTTTCCCTTTTTAGAGTGGTACTCCATTTAGTTGTGCCTCTGTGCCACTTGGTATGTAGTGGCACGGGCGGGGAGACCAGCTTAAATATAGTGCAGTTAGGACACGCTAGTTTTGACACTGACTCTGTATCAGCTGATAATCAAACAGCAGCAGATAGTGGATATACTGTGGTAAACGTAAATTTCATCTTCAAACAGCTTTTGAGTGCTGCCTCCTCATCTGACTTTAGTCGTTACGAGCATGTGACACACAATCTGTATTGTGTATGATGCCAACACTTGTATACCGAATGGAATGGAAACCATGTCCAACTGGCTCAAATGTATGTTTGGAGAGCACCCATGGAAAACACTTGCTGTGACATCGCTGAAGTGTGAAGCGCAACATGTTTCAAAGCTTGATCCAGTAGAGCAATTCAAGCTATTTTCTTCCGTTTGCAATCCTGTGAAACAACTGTTCAAGGTGTGTTCAAGGTGCTTTCCAAAAAAATTTTAATACTTTTTTTTATATTAAAAGTTTGTAAAAATAAATCTGTACGAGGTCAGTTGTAGTGCCAAAATCATGGAGGATTATCACTCAACTCTGTAGCTCTATTGAGCTTTTTGGCATCTTCTGGCTCACTATGGTTTAATCTGAGCTGCTCTCATCAACCTCCATATGTACTCTGATAAATACCCCGTATGTTAGCAGCCCAGTATCAATTGGCAACTGTTACTGAGTGGCTGGTGAATATATTTCAGTATCTAGCAGCTAAAGAGCCAAGAGGAGCTGATGGAAACCAAAAGTGAATGTGAATGTTGCACTTTGGACCCTGGGTAGTTAGAAAATTCACTTCAAATGACTTTTTTGAAATGTTGCTCTTGTGTATGCTGAATGTATATGAGGCCATCTACAACTTATTGAAACGTTTTTCTGCCCCCTAGTGGCCAAAACTAAAATTTTTACAACTATACAATTTTATAAATATTACAAACATTAACTTGCTTATGATTGTGGTGCCGTTATTACTGACAATGACGTCCAAATACAGATTTATTTTTACCTATCAAATCTTACTTTTCATTTGTATGTATTGTCATACTGATTTGACCTCATACATTAGGCAATATATATAAACACCACTCTGATTGACTCTGATTGACTCTGATTTTGAGCTGGAAATTACACTTTGGTTAATTACAAAGACGAACTTGAAATTTTGTACACTCTTGTCCTATTTTGGGACATTTTGGTCTGTTCAGAGAGTATCCTGTTCCTTTGAGTTAAAACCTTTCCACATGACCTTACTTCATCCACATACCAGATGCCAGCCTCCCTCTCCAGCCACATACTTAGATTTCCACGAGGGTTCAATTAAAATGGCTCTCATGCAGAGTTGAGTACCCCGTTAGCCAAATGACTAAAAATGACTACACGGCAAGATTCTAATCTAAAACTAGCTCCAATTATTCAGCTCTTGCAGTGAAGCTCAAAGAAAAGCACACAACTACAGCGAGTTTACCAATGATTCAATGGGAAATTAGGTTAATAGAATTAAAGTAATTCAATCTCACCTTGAGAATCTCAATGAGTTGAATGATGGTTTGTTCAAACATAGATATTATAACCAAGTTGTGGTATTTCATTCTCAATATTTTATCTCTGTTGTGAGGTCTAAAATCACTAGAGGTGTCACAATTATACAGAGCGACGAATTTCTAATAAAACAAGAATCTTCCATTTTGGATTCAAATCGTGAGCTATAGCAAATGGCAGAAGTGTCTATACTCACTATAAAGGAAAAGACTAGCATTCTGGACGCCCAGTCGGTTCGAGGCCACACAGGTATAGTTCCCATAATCCTCTTCGGTGACGTTGGCAATCATGAGAATAGTGGTACTGCCTAGAATTTGGATATTGATGCCCTGGGCATTGGAAAGCCTGGAGAGGAGAGACAGACAGAAGACATTTTAAGTAAATTGCAAAGTAATGGAAATTAGAGGAGTTTAAGCCGGAAGGGAGTTAATGACATTTTGGGCAAAATTATAAAGTTTGCAGTGTCTGTAAAGGAAAAGGGTCATTTCACCAGAGCTTAATTAACCAACAGAAAATACTGACTTCATACTGAAAGAGAATACACAATTATTTGTCAAATTAGTCATAACCTACTTCTGGCTTAAAAATAGACATTATTATCAGCCTTATGGCAACATGGCACAATGTGGCTGACAGGATTCAGCTGTTTTCCGAATGTGGTGTTACATCCCGGAGACTCAAAACTGCTGCCTCTAGAAGGTACTGTCATATTAAATAGATTTCTGTGAATGAATTTCTTCAGAAATGACTTATAATAGCATTTATTTTGTCAACAGCTTACATTCCTGTTACATTTCTTTGTGTATAAATGATATTTTATTATTTTATATGTGGCAGTTTCTGCAAAATGAGGCAGAGAATAAGACATTTTAAGATAAAATTCCTATACAAACACATACATAACAAACAGTAACCACTCAATTATGTTCCATAATTAACGCTATACTTTTTGTGCTGGCAAAGTGTCATTTCAGTGAACTTAATCTCAGTGTGGGAGTTGAGATTGTTAAGAGGGCTGATACTGTAAGCCTTTGGAACAAACATTTTTCATTAACAGTTTGACACAATGCTGCATTTACCAGAACGCAATCCTTGACCTTTGGGTTATGTGGTGAGCAAAGAAAACAGTTTTCTGAGAGGCAATGTCAGTGTCTGGGCTTGTAAACATGACAATGCAGCCAACACAGTGTGCAAATATGAAAAAAAAATTGCTTAGGAAATACTGCTGCATGGATATTTACTGTACAGAGTGTACATGTTTTTGCTCTTGCTCAACAATCTCTAAATATCCTCTCTTATGCCGACAGAATACTTTGTTGTCGTCAAATGAACAAACATGATAATTTTTATGCCATTTTCGAATGAAATATTAGTATGCTGCTGAAGTCCTTCCCTGCATTTCTGGGAGTCTTAATGACCACCAAACTTCTGACAATCAATTATGTCAACCTTGAACCCCTTTCAGCACAAATTAATCAATACAGTTTGCTGACTCAGACTGTATACCTCACTGATGAACTGTTCCTTACATCATCACAACCAAATAAAACTCTTTTAATAACGGCATGCACATAATGGATTCTGCTTGTTCTGGGCTGATTGAGCCTTTTCGTATCATGAATGAGGTGAAGTTCATTTAAGGCGCCTCAACTTAATCCTGCTTAAGTCTGGGTAATGTGGTAATCTGAATTTGAGCAGGGGAGCGAGAAGTTTATGCTGACACAAAATTGGCTGATAGGAAGTATTAACATAAAAAGGAAAACGCACATCACGGCACAGCATAATTTGGCTCACTGGGGAGCGGGGACTTGATAAAGTGCTGAGGTCCTTCCCATAGGGACACCTTGGAAACCGTGGCAGCATGTGTGTGTGTGTCTGAAAGTGAGAGAGCAAAAGAGAGACCTAGGGGAGGGCAAGTGCACCAGGAGTGTCCCCACTTCATCTAAAAGCAAACCCCCCTCCCACGATAAGGCCAGCAGCAGATATATTCTCCAGTGTGTCTTCATGAGAAGTGACTGCACTATTAAAAAGGCCTGCCTGCCCACAGAGCATGCTGAGAGACCCAGATAATACACAACACCACAGGGAGCTGAAAGCAAACAGCTATTTTTACTATAGATTACAGCGCATGATTGTGATGCAGTAGTAGGGGAATAAACTGACCTAAACAGGTCAAAAGGGACAGAACTCTCTTTTGTTTTCACAGTGAAGGGTTCAGGTTGGACTAGAGGTAGATTTATTTGCACACATGGTTCGAGTTTAAATACCCTGCAGCAGAAAGCTGGAGCGTAAAGAGCAGGAAACTGGATCTCTGGCCTCCCAAAGTGCGTTATCTTTTCTATTAGCATTTATCGAGCTCAACAATTCTGCTGCCCACTTTAACTTTTAACGTGTTGGCACACGCAGATCTGCAGCCGGAAACTTCTCTCACTTTTGATTTCAAGTTCATCCTCAAATATGCCTGTATCTCTGCCAGCTGCTTCATCTGGCATAATAGACTGGAATGCATTATCAGGGAAGTTGGCAGAAATGGTGCTCGTCAACCTTTTCTGGAGGGAAGTTTTTCAAGTGTTCTCAGCATTATTGTATCATACTTGACGTCCTTCCTCACAGGCAGAGGGCAGCAGTGCTCTTCTGGATAGCTCAAGTCATCATTTCTTGATGCACAGAGCCACTCTGGTACATTAAACCCTAGATTGAAATGATTTGACCCCTGTATTTGGCAAAGGGCATGCAGTGTGTGTGCAGGGCTGCAGTCGTAGACCGGTAGAGATGAAAGACCAGACCAAATCATCAGATTGACAGATTTGATTCTGTAGCGTGTGGGAGCATCTAAAGTAGGTTATCACTGCCAGAGAAAGTGACAGGCCTGTTATGATTCAAGGCCGATGATAAATGAAATCAAGTGGAGAGTCCTGCTGAGACTTGTAACCCAGAGATGATTGAAAACGGTCCGGTGGCTGTGACAGCCATGTATCAGCTGACAAAACAACAAACAGATCTGTCTGTCACATCAGCTAACAGCTCACTTTGGATTTTCTCATGTTATAAACATGGATTGAGTGATTTACTGCACAAGGAACAAGAGCAACAGCCTACAATGAAAGATGCTTGACAATGGTTGATTCTACAAACATAATTCTTGAGACATAATAATGGAGCTCAAAAACAGAAAAAAAACTGGACTGGAAATATTTTCTCTCAGATTTGTAGCTTCTCCTTTAGGGTTAACATTACATAATCATATGGAAAAACAGGGCTAAAGGGGCAACCAATTTACAACTTGAGTCAAATTTAATCATGGACAGCCAGTGAGAAGAGACAAAAACAGCAGGGAGGGTCATGACAGCCAGGTTGTAATAGTATCAGTTATGATCTTCTGGCCAGCTGGTTTAAGATCACGATGCATCGGTTTCTACTGAAGCTAACTCAGTGTTAAATGCCATGGAGACTCTCAGATCCTGGTGAAGCCAGAGATGTGAGATGATTCATTTATGTTTTAGTGGATGAGTTATGTTTCATCCGTTGAGGTGGTCCACATTTTCATGTGGATATTAAGACTGACTGGACGGATATTCACAAGGTTAGGAGAGTTAAGCTTCCCTAGTCCGAGGAGGAGAGAGGGGAGATCTCTGCAACTCAGTTTGTGTTTACCAGCTTGTGCCAAGCAGTTTGTTCAAACTCTGGGGTGTTAACTCCTTCAGTTTGATTTGTTTGGGCAGGTGAGAGAGTTGCTTTTCCAACTTGGCACTAGATAACCCGACCAAACGTGTGAGTGTTTGTTTGGGGTAAAATGGCCCAACCAAGAGGAAACGAGAATGAAGAGTTGGAAGTTGTCAACATGAACAGGTCTGGACCAAGAGGCATAACTACAAATCAGACACAAAAGATATTTAAAATACAAAGAAGGATTAAGAAAAATAATTAATCAATGTCAAATACGGTGAGCCTTCGCAAAGATAAATTCTGCATCTGAAGGGTATCTGTAATTAAAATATGAAACAAGTTTGTTTGTCAAAATACCGCTAAAGAAAAGGATTAAAAAAGCTTTAACTCAACAAGGGACAAAAGTTAATCTTTTGAATTTTAGCAAAACGTAACTTCTAAAAATTTAGAAATTATCAAAGAACATTGTTCATGTTTGAGGCTGGAATAATAGTTAAAATCCAAATACATAATTTCTAACAAGTTTCCCTCTCATAACTTTTTCACACGCCAAAGTAGGTGAGTTGTTATTTCTCAGTTGTTAGTGCAGGTGTCACCTGTAAGGGTGTTTCCACACCTCTGGTTTTATTCTATTTCCGCAGAAAAAAGGATTTTTTTGTCTCCTTCACTGACAACAAGATAACCCTGGGAAAATGGCTTTCTTTCATTCTGATTAAAAATGATTCACCAGACCAGGTCTGCTTCAGATGTAATCATACTGCTAATGAGAATGAAAACAGAGAAAAGAAAAAATAATTTTTCACTGGTTCTGGCAAATCGAAACATGCCAAAGGTCCACGAATACTGATTATGGCTGCACTAACATCTGACCCCATAACTGATTACAAACCATATATAATGCATTAATATATAAGGGAGTATTCCAAAAGTAACCACCTGGCTGCTGCTAAACCCCTTCCCCAAACAGTGACCAACTAGGCATGGCAGGTCAATCAAACTCTGGATTTCTCCACATGTTCAAGCTTTGCACATGGGACTGTAGTAAGATTGATACTCAACATTTAAAGAGCTTGGAGGTTTTCTTGTTTTTTGATTTCCAAAACCAAAAACTACTAAAGCAACAGTGTAAAAAATGGATTAAACAACGTGAGCTGTAATCGTTAGAATGTTCGGCTAACTACCTTAGTGCCCACAGAGCGTTACTTCCAAGGCCACTGAGCTACTGATTTACTCAGTGACAGTGGTGGCTCAGTACAGTCAGCTGTGCTGTAATGGTTTTAGCGCAATATCATGTATGTGTGTATGTATGTATGTAGCCATTAAGTTCGTATTTAACACACCTTTAACAGGGTTCTTAGTTTGAGAAAAGTCAAGTGGAAACATAAAAAAGTCAGACGGAGACATTGTTTTTCAACCAACTCATGGAGCTACTGTTATCTCAGTGCTTATAGCTGATAAAATCTGCAAGCAAAAGTTGTCATTACGGCTGGCAAAATCAATAGCAGCCGGCTAGGAAAGAGAAGACTTGTCTGTTGTCTGCCTCTGAAACATAGAACCCGTTGTTAAGAAAATTACTAAGAATTGCAAGTAGTAAATCTGGCACTGTCACTGCGTGTGTATGTACAACCCGAGAATCAACAAGCACTTCTTTTTGATTTAAATGTAGAGTTCAGGTGTTGATTAGGTTAAACCAATTAAAAAAGGGAAACGAGCGCTGAGGCGAGACCCCACCTTAACAATCAGGTAAATAAGACACAACAGGCTACAGTGCATTAGCCTTGATTCTTGGGGAGGGGACTGTAAAATTAACTAGCCAAGCAAGGATAAATGATATTATTATGGTGCATTAACATCATCATCCAAGGAGAAAGTGCAATAACGCTTTCCAAAGGCACAGAGGGAGAAGGGGGCCATGAACAGGCACATAGCCAAAATCCTCCAGGGGACAAAACAACTGAGATAGATGGAGGTTGGAAACAACAGATAATGCAAAATATTTCAACGACCATAAATCTTTCTTTTCAAGCGCTGCCGTGATAGGCCTATTACTTTAGAGACCATATCCGTGATAACACTTGTGACACTCCAATATTTTTCTCCCAATCTTCAGTGAACTTTTTCTGCTATAGTTTGGGTACAAGTGAAATTGCAGATCATGGCGCTCTGCATGTGCAATTTTCTTATCATTAGCTATTTCTATTCAAGCCCCTCCATTTCCCCAACGGACTCATATGGTGAGCTTGCTGCAGAGGAGGGAATCTCTCGGGTTATTAAATGACAAGTGAGAGTCTGGGTTGTCATTGCCTTTGAATGTTATTACACTTCGATCCTCTTCAAGTGTTTTCCAGATACATGCATGGCACTTAAATTGATAGCTTTCCAATGAACAGCTGTGTCTGGTCACACAGTTTGCAATTTCTCAGGCGACGGTACAGTGCGGGAAGCCTGATTTCCATTTCACTGGAATTACTTGTGCTATGAAAAAAAAGGGTTACTCCAGTGACTACAGTATAGGAATTACATGCAGGAGAACACCCGATCTGTTCTCCTTTTTCTCAAAGGAATATCACAGAATCCACTGCTGTCTTACACAGTAATGTTCAATTAACAATGGAATAACAGCCTAGTGAGTGATTAAGTGGGTGATTAGTCATTATCAAACTACACAGATGATGCCATCAAATTAACACTGGGATGTGACAATGGGACCACTGTGAGGGCAGATTTGACAAAGGAATCAAAGAGATCCATTATAACCAGTGAGTAAAATGATACGGAGCATGCCTGGCACAAGAATGTAGTGATGAAGCTGCTGCCACATTTAGGAAATGAGGAGAAAACTACTCAGGAAAGTATGTAGAAAGCTTCTGACTCCATTGAGGCCATTGAAAGATCATAGGCTGGGTTGGACCTCTGTTGTTTGAAGACGGCTGTGAGATTGATGCTTATGCAGGCCAAATGCTGGCATAGGGAGCAATCAGTATGATTTTTATTAGAGAAGGAAATGCAATTCATTAATTCCCTCTTAATTGTGCTCATAACAGGAAACAGCAGAGCCTCTTTACAGCTGTCATAGTCACACCTAAGTAAATGCAATGTAAATCTCATTATTTTGCCTCATCATCATTGTATTTGTAATGTTGGCAACATAAACAATTTAGCACATCAGGTCAAGTCAAATACTGGTTATTTCTGTTATCACATACATGCCATCAGCGGGACTCTATAGCTGTAACATATTATCAGTCTTCACAAATCAGAATATTTCAATACAGAATCCGTCACAATAAACTTTCCCAAACTATTGTAATGCATATACAGTAACAGCTTTTCAACCTGTTTTGAAGGCATACAACACTGTTGCTTCCAGTAATTCGACTTATAAGAGAGAGAGAAGGTTTTCCATCCAGGAAACATTACAGGAGATCATTACAGTTATAAAGGGGTTTCAGAGCATTAAGGTGCCAGCCTCGGTGGATCAGTCTTACAGTTGATATACTTGTTTGTGATAAAGAAGTCTAATGGCCAGTGCTCTATTTAATGGCTTGTCTGACTGGTTGTATACAGCTCATGCTCTTTAGCTCATTCCCTTGATTGGTCTACGGCATAAAAAATGTAGACTGGGCTTGCAGCATCACCTTGAAGTGTCCTAGTTATAAACTATTCAAAATGTTTCTGAATGTTGTGTCATCTCTCCATGCCCATTTGGAGCTTATTCATTTCTGAGGTAAGATCAGGTGTATGCAGTTCCGTACAGGTGTCTATTTGTGACATTGATGTGGGGAGTGATGGTGTAAATGTGTGTGAAGTTGTACCTTTTTTCGTCTCTGTACCATTCAAATTCTGGTGTGGGCACAGCGGTGGCTTCACACTGCAGTGTCCCCATGCGGCCCACCGGAGTCTCTGAGCTCTGGGTTTTCTTTATTGTCGGAGGGTCTGCAGAGTTACACAAAGATGACATACGTTAAATCTTAAAACCAAACCAACTTTCATGTAGTCAAGCGTTATGCTCCTCCTTAATGATATCAGCCCATGTGGCACTTGTGTTTCCTTTCAGTTTTTGTTTTTCTTTCCCTAAAAAGTAAATTTAATTTAGTCAAGTATGTCTAAATATGGTCATTGATATAAGCCTGGCACAGAAAACAAAAACCCCTTTCATATGATGACTTATTCTCTGTATTGAATCTTACTAATAAAAGCAAACAAATGGACAAATACCAATGATAAGCTGAAGGAATTGAGTTTCTTCTATTTTGTATTGTAGAATTCCGCTAGCTTAAGGCTTTTATACTGCAAGAACTAATGTATAATATATTACTTGGAGCTTGACTCCAAAGAATAATCACTGCTAAAACTCCAAATTTATCAAGTTTATTAACATTCATCATACACACATAATGTCTTCTACAAACATCACAATGGCCAGAAATATGTCCAATGTGGATTAATGACTGTTTTCCATTTAGGATTAAATACTAAGCAATAGTTTAATATAGAAATCTTTATCATTTGATTCAGGCACTCACACTTGGCTAAAGTAAGGTTTGGGCAAACAGCCATACGCGATTTGTCCGGATCAAAGAGAATCTTACAACTCCTCTGGGGGGGAAGTTGGTTTGTGGTGTCTCCTGAGGTGTTCATCAACCTGCAGCCAACGTTTGCATTACGCTCATCAAATCCAACATGGATCCCTGACAAGATGTAATTAGGGGATCTTGTTTTGAAATGCAAAGTGCCTCTTAAATGATGATGGTGGTACGTGAGAATTACCATGGGAATGACAGTTGCAATCAAAGTTGGAGATCTTTCTCTTTCTACCTGGATTCATCTTGAGAAGACTGAAGTGTACTCCAAAACTTTCAAGATACTGCCTTAACGCCCCGTCACACTAAATTCTACATGTCTCTACCCTTAACTCCAGTCTTGACTTTTATACGCTTTTGTGTTGAGTATATCATCTTGTGACACGTCTGACATGAAACAAGGTAAGAATATAGATCAGTCTGGAATAGAGTAAGCGCTGCAGTCTGTCGTTACTTACAGCTGACAACCACATTGACGTATTTGACATCAGGTGTGGCGACGTCGTTGCTGGCCTTGCATTCATAGCGACCCGCTTGGTTTCGCATGATGCCTATAATGTCCAGGTACTCTTCTCCATCCAACGGCTCTGCTGCAGAGAGATAGAGAGAGAGCGAGAGAGGAGGAGGAGTGATTGAGGGAGGCAAGAGGAAGACGAACAAAGAGAGGGACAAAAGAAAGAAGGAGACAAAGTTAATGTTTGAGCTCTGTTCAAGAGAGTTACTTTTCCCAGGGACTCTAAACCAGCATAATCGCCTGTCAATCAATTCAGGGGAAGATAAACTGACTAAAATATTTTTACTGGATGATCATGTAACGAATGTAGGTGAAGATCTTTTTAATTAAAAAAAAATTAAACATTTCGACAAATAAGCTTATTCGCTTACTTGTCGAGAGCTAGATGAGAAGATGGATGCCAGCTGGTTAGCTTAGCTTAGCATAAAGAATATGCGGGTGGTCTATTTTTGATCCCGTCAAGCAGGTCGCACTGGCAGGAAGTCAGACACAGAAACAGCATAGACAATCTGGTCAATTTTCAAAATAAAATACAGCGTGCACACCCTAGCTTGAAAAACATTGTTTTGGATCCAACATATTGCAGACAACATGCTCTAAAGATGCTCCACTTCTAAAGCGCTCTCGGTGGGATTTGAAGTCATATGGATCACAGAGACAAAACATGACACAGATGCAATGTTATAAAACCATGCCTGGTGGAATTTTGGGGTAAAGGTGACAAATTATTTATGTGCTGGACTATTTCTCAGCTTGGCACCGTGACTCCCAGGTTGCCTGGCAACATCACAGTGATGACAAGACTCCTGGAAGCCACTGCTTCCGGCGCAGATATAGTCTATTTGGTCTACATATTTGGTCTATTATATCTACAGCAAAATTTTTTGAGGTTTCAATTTCTACACTGTAAACATGTTCTATTGCAAGCAAGTTCACATGTATCTATACACTTTGGATGTTTGGATATGTTGCTATACAAAGAACTATTTTATTTTAAGAAAATGGCTATTATTTCGCCACCCACATCAGCTTGGCATGGCCACCATTAGCACAGAGGACACTAAGGTACTTTATTAAAGAGGAAGCAAAATGGCCAATCTGATTAGCAGTTAAGATTCACTCACTTTGAGGGACATACTGTATCCACGATACTGTAGGCTTAGGTAGAAAAGAGAATGTAATTTATTTAAGGAAAGATTGCCAAGTGTCATGTTTCACAGTTCATATTGGTGTCAGATATGGTTCTTTAAAGGTGTGAGTATGTACGAAACGCAGTACTTCAAATGATGTGTTATCCAACCACGAAGGCAAGTGTTTCGAGCTGCTCTGAAAGGCCACATTCGAAGGTGGGTGAAAAGCCTGCCGTCAGAAAGGATGGGGAGACTAGATAATTGTTTGGATGGGAAGGCATACATGGTGCTGCACAAAAAGTTACTTGAAAAACTTTACTGTACTTTGTGTTTAGTCACCTCCACACATCGCTTTGTGAAGTAGGTGTGCCCCAGTTTCAGAAATTTACAAAAATTATCAGACATTGGAAAGGTATGGGAGGTTTCATATGCTGTTCGGCCATCCGACAAGCGCTTGGGTTAAATCATACTGACACGTTTAAGTCTATTGAGAGTTGCTTTTGATGAAGGGCTAAATAAAAAAGGCAGCAATTGAAACCGCAGCATTCTTCCACACTAATATTTCACAACAGAGGTAATTCAAATTCACAGTCAGGGTATGCTGAAAAACTCAAGCCGAATGACTTAGATTGACTCTTCAACTGAAAGCACATTTAATATTCATTAAACAACTTGTTAAGCAGACTTTTATTAGTTGTTTGTCTAAAAGCTTCAATTAACAGAGGAATAATATCTGCAAATGTCAGGAAAAACACTTGAACAGAGTGCAAGAGAACTACAGAGACTATCAGACAGATATCTGACTAATTGTTTAATGAGCAATCTAGCTAATTAGCCATGTACAGAACATAACGTCTCGGCATCTCATTAGGAAAGATGCTATGTCTTATTAAGATCTATTGGTGGGTCAGAAGGAGGAAATGTCAAATTATTTGATGTGCTACCAAGTTAATTGTACTTCATCTTTTATCACATCTGAAGATAGCATTGGCGTGAAGACCCTGAAATATCATTATTTGTGATATCAGCTGATTTATTTGGTGGATGCGTATGTGACTGCAATTAATTTGAGATGTGATAATTAATGCTGTATGCAAGGGTGTAGCACAAACTTATTTTTTATGGGCTCCACCATTTGTTCTAGTTTCTTTTCTTTGTGGGCCCTCTTCACACGAGGGCCCAGTATACCCAATCCCCCTCATTCCCTCAGTCCTACGCCCTTGTATGTGATAATACCGTGTTTGTGTATTATACAAAAGACAGCCATTCTACATAAATTTCAATCTGATGGAAAATGAAATGATTGGAAATAACAATGACTTAATAAGAAATCATATGCTTGTAGCCAGGATATTTCTCAAAAAGATACAATTATGGTAAATGGACTGAACTTGCATAGCGCCTTTCTAATCTTCCGACCACTCAGTTCACTTTGCTACATTCACCCATCACAAACAGAAACAAACATTCATGAGAGCAATTTGGGGTTCAGTATCTTGGTCAAAGACACTTCGACATGCAGCAGGAGATTGAACCTCCAACCTTCTGATTAGAGGACGACCCGCTAAGCTACAGCCGCCCCATCACAATTAGCTGCACTGAATAACAGTCTCCTCTGACCCAGCAAACACAACTACAATAACATTGACTGAAACGTCCCTTAATCTAAAAAAATAAAGAGTGGTGGAATCTGGGCAGTGCAAATAAATTGCACAAGATCTCTGAGGTGGATGGATAAAATGCATGTTTGTAACAACAGTAAATGTCAGTAGTTGCAATTGTGGGCAAGTTCATGCTCATGTTACGAGTGAGGGGCTACAGGCTCTGTGAGAACGAAGCACTGTGACCTGAGAAATGAACCAGCAACTACAGGGACTCTGATATGGGAGGTTCGTTGAAAAAACAGCTGCTCTGCCTTGGTGATCACACATAAATGCTTTGCCATTAAATGCCATAAAGCTCAGTCAACAACACCTCAAAAACATCAGTCTGACTTTTATACATGCCTAAAGCTCAAACTCCTAATACCTACAAAATCGAGCCTGGTCTCAGTGTTTGAAACAGAAAGAGAGAAAAAAACTAAATGATCCAAATCAAGTGCATGATGGAGATGGAGGTCAGCTGATACAGTATTATTTCATGTTGATTGAAAGATCAGTGGGATCACGATCAAAGTCTAAACCAGATCATATTCAGCCCTCCCTGGACGAATTGCCAGAGTAACGTGATTGGAGTGGTATGATTGAAAATCTGTTGCCATGGAAATTCTACTGAAGCTCAATCTCTACTTCAGTGCTTTGGTTTGGTGCTGGATAAGGGGAAGAGAAAAAACAGGTGACTGCAAAGATCAAAGAAGAGAGTAAAGAGAAGACAGGAGAGGGGAGAATTTAAATGAGAGATGAGAGGAAGTGGCTCGACTAGTTTTTTTAAGCGCAGCAATTAACTGTCAGTAATCTCACCTGGTGTATAGAGAGCAACTCAATCATGACAGATGAATGGAACGTGATGTATTGTCTAAAGAAACAATTAATTGAGATACAACATTTCAAGCGTCTTTGTCTGTGCCCATGGGGGAATATCCCTTCCTGTGTGTGCTTCACATGTTATCTGTTTAATGAAGCATAATGAAGATAGATTGGTTAATCTTGTCTGGAGGGAATTGATTAGGGTGTGTGTACAGTATATGTGTGCATATGCCCATGCCTGTTTGTGGACGTGTTACGTCTCTATGGTGAGTGAGTATGAAGTGTGCATGCGTGGATTGGGGTGAAGGCTTCCAGGGAGCACTAAGACCGTTGACTAATTCAAAGTGTGTGCATTAGAAAAGCCCCATGAATCCTGGCATTACCCTATATTATATCATCACATTTGTATGCTAATCTGAAAAGAGGAAGGAGAGTGGGTGACAGAGAGGAAAAGAGTAGTAAAGTAAGGGAAGGACAAGGAGTGAGCTTCATTTTTTTTCCTGCACATTTTCTGTTTTTCCAGATAGATATCAGCATGCTCACATGAATGACAACGCTAACATGCTGATGTTTAGCAAGTGTAATGTGTACCATCTTCATTTGGTGAGCTAAAATAAAAAAAAGAAAACATGAAGTACAGCTGAAGTTGGTATCATTTATTTTGAAGGTATCTAGGCATAAGTAAGAAGTATTGGACAAATTAAAATTTGGACTTTATAATGATTAAAGTCAAAAAGTCAACGGAGAACCAAAATCATTAGGATTCAACCTCTGGACATCATGGAATATCTGTGCCAAATTTCATGGCAATGTTGCACCATCATGTTTCACAAATGGGACAAATGGCTCAAAATAGGCCCTTTCTTGTTTTTCCTGAGTTTTATGGCACCCATAGTTTCTTTACACGCTTGGAAGGTGATCAGTTATCAGTTTCGCCGCTAGATGCCAACAATAAATAGTTTGTTTAGTAGCTAGATCGATAGACAGACAGACAGACAGAC